AAAATCCATCAATGCGAAAACAAACTTCAAAAGCCACTTGAATCATCAGCAATCAGTTTGCCAGCAGCCGCAAACAACCTTTAAGAATCCAGTATTGACAGATCAGCTTTTAATATAAGTATGTGTGTGCTACACTTACCAGGTGACCATCATCATGATCATTATCTTAATGATCATTATCTTAATGATCATTATCTTAATGATCATTATCTTAATGATCATTATCTTAATGATCATTATCTTAATGATCATTATCTTAATGATCATTATCTTAATGATCATTATCTTAATGATCATCAGCCTAATGATCATTATCTTAATGATCATCAGCCTAATGATCATTATCTTAATGATCATCAGCCTAATGATCATTGGCTTAATGATCATTATCTTAATGATATCATACAATTATCATCATATTGATCATCATCATCATGATCATCATCATCATGATGTTGAAACTATTTATAAGCAGAAGAAGCTAAGGATTGAACTTAATTTTAGATTATTTGATTATTATTTATACGCCATATTTTTATAGAGCTTTTCGATGTGTATTCTTAATTAAGAAGTCCTTTTTGTTTTTCGTTGCGTACAATTTTAATTCGTAGTTAAAGTTGTTTTGTGTTTACATTTAGCATCCATTGATGAGTGCCAATAATCTTGAAAGATTTGCTTATCTACAAAATATCATATAAAAAAGGGTTGGAAATTTGAGGTTTATTTTTAGAAATTTATCTTAAAAGTTGTCAGAAACCATTTGCTAAGATTTTACAACATATTTTCACAGCTACTCAACAAAACTCTCCCCCCTCTCCTAGCTTAAAAATTGCTTTCAATTAATTATCCAGTTTGCTAAGCCCCAACAAATAAGGGCGAGATAGAGAAAGAGAACTCAAATATGCATCTCTTTCTCTCTCTCCCTTGGTCTTTTCGCGTCCCCCATCGAGTTGACATTTTGCATCGTGATTGGTGTTGTTGCCACAGTTGCAGCTGCAATTAAGTTTAATGGAAGCTCATTAAGATTATGAATTGTGATTTTGGAGAAGGGTCAGCGGGGATGTGGGGGGAAGGTTGTTTAGTAAATTGCATAGAATTGCATAATATGCAGCTCCCATTTGGCTGCTGATTGTGGTCTCTTGCAAAATTATTGAGGAAGCTGTGCAACTTGCTAACTTGCAACATTTTGCGGAAGTCGCTCAGTTGTCAACAATTTGAATGTACGACCAAAGGGCGCCCCAAAAGACACATAAACCCCTTTTCCTACAACACAAAAAAACAAACAAAAATGTGCCATAAAAAACTGTCAGCAACTTTTTTCTTTTCTATTTGTTTTGGACCTTGCAACGGCACACGACAGCAATTAAAATGCAGCCTGTGGCATCAATAAAAACCGTAACAATTGTCAGGTTGTAAAAAAACGTTTACAGGATCAGAGCCAGACAATTGCAACAAAAGCTTCTACTTATTCTTGCCTTGTGGCATTGTCGAAAAATGAATACCCCATGAATGGGTATTATGGCATTTAATTTTAAAAATTGCACAGCAAATTTGAATTAAAGTTTTTCGTATTGCGTTGCCGAAAGGATACTTGCAATTAGTATAAAATATTCCTGCAAATTGAGAGCTCTTTTGTTCTGAAGTACTCTCGTTAAACATTGCTACTTGAATTCCTCGTTTACAAATAGCAAAAAGGAACAACTATCTTAGGCATGCCGCTGATTAAATACCCTTGCGAAATGCAGTTAAACCAGCCGACCAATTGTTCCTATGAGTTCTATATGATATAGCAGCTCTATCTTGATGAGGAATATAATAAGACGCATATTAATTGAGTCTGCTTTAGATATGTTATGTGTTCCGAGACGTCTTCTTTAATTACGTTACAAACTCAACAATGGATTTTGAATAGCTCTGCAAAGCTCTACAAATATTTCTATATTGAAATATTTGTGTTTGGCAAACAGTTGGATTCGCTTTATACATCTTTGAAGTATTTGTCTGTTTCATATTTGTTTTATTTCTCAAGTTAAAGCTAACTGTAGACTTTATTCAATTTTTTTAATTAAATTGAATTTTGCTCTTTTCAAGTGGGACTTGAGAATATGCTGAAATTATGCTAATGAGATTGGAGAGAATGAGAATCAGATGTAGAATCAATTGAGAAGATAAACAAATGATGAATAAAAAATCGGTTGAGTTTTTGTCAAAGTTAGGGCAATTTCTTAAAAAAATTCTTGGCATTTTTAGCAAATTTTTTGAACTTGTGTCATTTATCAGAGGGTTGCACATTGTCTCCATACATTTTTCTCATTTCCTCTTTGGAACTGAGTATAAATATGATGCGACACTCAATTTACATTTTCACTGTCAAGGTTTTCTGTTTCTTTTTTTGTGGCTCTTCTGTGTTGCTGCCACGCCTTTCGCTGACAGTTTCCGCAACTGGGAAACTTGGTGGTGAGTGGCAAGTTCATCAAAATAAAAAGCAGTTAACAAGTGCAGTTTATTTAAGCCAAATTCTGCGAGTGTGCAATAATGAAGAATGAGGTGGAAAAGGGAATAGAAATTGATGGAATGGAATGAAATATGTATAAGAGAGGGAGAACAACGGGAGAAAGAGAGAGAGAGAGAGAGGGGAGAAAGAAGAGGAGACGTCAAATGAATTGAAGCATAAACATTGTGCGGAAATTAAGCCAAAGAACCGAAACACACATTGAAAAGCAGAAAGGGAGAAGTATGTGGGAGAGGGGGTGTTGGTGGAGGTGGGGAGGGGGGTATAAACAAATTGCACTTTAAAATAGCTCGTAAGTTTTTGGTCTGACTGTCTGTCTGTCTGTCTATCTGACTATCTGTCTGCTTTTGTCAGTCTTCGCATTGCATTCGCGTTGCTTATAAATATTTATTATATCATCAAGGCAGTAAAGTGTGAGAGGGGGGTGAGTTTGAACAGGGGGTAGGGAAATGTGCAGCGACGTAATTAAAATGCATTATTAATGAAATGCAAATGTGAAGAAATTAATTAAGTATGTAATAGACAGCGACACCGACAATAACAACATCAACAAGCGCAACCAGCTCAACATTTGCTTCCATGGTGCACCCAACTGACATTTTTGTCAACCCTTTAAAAAACACTTTTTGTCCCTTCGCCTCCTCCCCTTACCAGTCTATGGTAAGCCACACACACCCTTTGCACGTTGTGGCCAACACTTTTAAGGTTTGCTTCCATTTCTACTAACGAGCTTTACATATTAAAATGTATTTCTTGTTAAGAACTCATATGAAAAATTCATTCCGAGTATTTTGCTTGATGAGCATTCATGCAAACATTAATTTTTGGTTCATTAAATGTATTTTTAAATAAATATTAAATATTGAAAATATTAAATGGTAAGCCGCTTTTGTATTTAATGTTGATTTATACTCATTCAACTTTATACTTCTCAGTCATAAATTATTTACATTTCATTAAGAAATCAAATGTTTGGTAAACTAACGACTCTTTCCATATGTTCCTTAGGAATTTCTCTAATTTTAAACAATTTCTAAACACATATAATAAACAAGTAAGCAAACTTTTCAATTGTTTTCTTGTCTCCCTCCATTAAATGTTAAATAGTTTGCATTCCATTATTTAATGGGTGCAGTCAACTTTTCCTATTTTAAAACAAAAGAAAAGTATTGGTTTTTATAACCGGATAATATAAAAAAAAAGTTGTCTCATTTTTAATGGCATCCTCTTTGCTGGAGGTGCATTTTTCAGCACGAAAAAGAGAGGAGAGGGTGCGGTGTTTTGTGTTGGGCAGGGGAGGGGAGGGGGAGGGGAGGCTTTCAACAATTCGTTGACAGCAGGTGCAGAGAGGAGTTGCATTGACAAGTGCGTTATAATTGCATTTAATTAATGCGATGACAAGAAAATCGAATTAAATGCGCATTTTTCACTTGTCGCAAAAGAAAACCCAGAAAAACGAGGCAAAATAACGAAGCGAAGCTTAAATACGCTTTCAGCGTAGTCTATTCAATTAAAAAATATATAATTTAAGTTATCTGTTGAGTATTTATTGGAATTTGAATTTGGGTGAATTTTTAAAGATTTAATAATTTAGTAGAAAATATGTGTGAACATTGAATTTTGAAAAATTAATTAGTAACTTATTTCAATGATCGAGAGACAGAATTGTAAACAGACTTGACTTAATCTACAAAGCGTAACACATTTATTATCATAACTAAGATATCCTCAAGTAGTGCATTAAAAGATGACAGAAATGTGGCTTAAAGAAAATGTGGCCTGGTTGACAATTGCAACACTTTGTTGCGCCGCTTTGCTATTTTTTACAATGTTGCAGTTGTTGTTGGAGTTGTTTGAACATAAATTACGGTTATGCCCGTTTGCTGCTGGCAAACGGAAACGCAGTTGCCACTGCTAATTCCTTTTTGCCATTTGGCCTGCCCGTTTCCTGCAACAAAAAAGCCAGTACAAATTTTCCTGCCCAACTATTTTAGTTTTTTCTAGCCTTTTTCCCCCTCAACATTTGCCATTCGCGCCGCAAGAGGAAGTTGCATGTTCGAAAAAAATGCTACACTAAAAGGGAAATTTCAACACCTCAAAAAAAATATTAAAAACAAAAACAATAAAAGTGGAGTGCATAATTTTTGGGCAAATTGATTTCATCCACTTTTTGAATTTTCCAATTTTCACCTGCCTTATTTATTATTATTTTTTTTATAGTTTTGTGATTGTGCAGCGTTGCGCTTAGCAATTTCACACAATGGAAAACCAATTGAAAACGCAACGAAAAGTAAAACAACTCATGTGCACTGCACCAGCAATCATTTTTGCCGAAATATTTTCCTCATCAAATTTTCTCAACGATTTCTGTAATTTGCACAACGCTCAATTAATTTATTCTGTTTTCCAAAATAATAAACCGCTGGCTGGCTTTATCGAATATATCTTCTTAATTTGTTGTTTATTTTCATTATTTTTCTGCTTTCAGTGGTCGCTCCTACAGCAAGGACAGCCAGAAGAGTTCGCACAGTGACCTGAGCTCATTGTGCAACGGCAATGCCAATAGCAATGGCGGCGGATCCCCAAAATTATTGGCCAAAACTCCACTGCGTAAGTACAAAACATAAATAAATATATATAAGTTTATTTAACATTGAAATGTTGGCCAGTTTTGGGATATTAAATAATGTAAAATATCAGTTTAGCAGTCATTGAATAAATTTTAGTGCTGCTGCCTCAAAGCATGCTATACTTTTTAGCAGAAATACGCACTGCAGCTACAACTGCTTTGCTAGCAAGCAGTGCAAGTGCACATACCTGTAGTATATATATATATATATATATATATATATATAGGCTTCTTGAAAGCAAACGCAACTGATTACTATTACTTTTAAATGCAAATACTTTTACTGCTCTTATAGCTTTTTTTTTAAAGAAAGAATGCGACTGTTTAATATTATTCATAGACTCAAATTCCACAACCAACGATCGTTGCTGCTTGTCGAGCAAGCAGTGCACTACGAGACACGCAGTTGCAAATGTTGCCGCAACATTTGGCGATTTAAGAGCAAATGAAACTCGTTTTCAAAGACTTCGGCTTTAAGCCACGACGTGCGACCAAAAACGCGCTTGGTTAATGGCCAAAAACAGAATAGCGTAAAACAACGAACCGGCTTTTTAGAGCAGCTGCTTTATTCGGGCAGCTTAAGAGTTGTTTTGTGAGCAACAGTCGCACTCATTGTTGTGTGTATCTAGATACAAATGTATCTGCAGCGCTGATAAAAACGGCACAGCACAAAATTCCATTTACACAAGTCTTCAGTCTCTTCAGTCTGCGGCGAGTTTTCAATGTTGTCGCGCCGGCTGCGCTCGCATTTTTCCACTTGTGTCGTCTTTTTTTGTGGCGCGTTCTTCCAGCCCAGAAATGTGCGACAAACACGTGCCCGAAATAATTTTATACAAATTACGATAAATATTGTGTGAAAAAATAGAAAAAAAATTGAAATGAAATAAGGAAAAAAGTATATATTGATGAGAAGGTGATTTAAAGTGAATATCAAGTGAATACCAAGTGAATTTCAATTTTGCTTTCCACTTTTTTTTTGCTCAACCCCATTCAGAATTTGTACTGTGAATTGCAGCCCCTATTTAATTAGAGCCAAACTCCTCTCTTGTTTTGTTTATTTTTTCTTCTTATGCACCACAATAAACGGGTTTTTTTTTCTAGTAAAGAATGCCGGTTTTTGAAATGTGTTCAGCAAATGTGAAACAATCGACACAGTCGAAAGGCTAAGGCAAAAGCAAAGCCAGTCAACTGAACCTTAACTTTTCAGTTATCGTCAGCTTTTACCTGCTTTTACGTCATCTGGGGTTTTTTGTTGTTGTTGTTATTGTTATTTTTATATGCAGTGTGATCTCAGAAATAATATGAGCTAGCGTTGATATTCAATAATGTCCAATATTCAATTAAATTTTCATTAGACGTAAAATCAAATTTGTAAGAACTTAAACGGAAAGTTTCAAAAGTTTGAATCTTGTTTGTCTATTAAATATGTTTATATATTAAATGTTTATATATTAATATATATTGAAACCTTTATTTTTCATACAAAACTCGTTAATTTTTTACATTAATTATTTGAAAATTTGTAGAATAATCTATAAATAAATATGTAGCAGCTATCGATCCTATATAGCCTTTTGCTAGGGTATCTGCTAGTTGTCTATCAACGGTCAACTCCATTCTTGGTTATTAGCATTTTATGTGCTTTTTAGCCTCCCTCAAGGCAATCGCGTTCGTTGCGTTCATTGAATAACCAAAAAGTCAATTGGCAAAAGTCGCATTAGTTTGGGCGCTCGATCAAACAAGCGATCAATCAATCAATCATTCCGTCAGTCAGTCAGTTCGTCACTCGCTTTGCCTGGCGCTGTGTTCTTGTTAACGTCTCTTGGCCCCAACCATAAATTATGCTGCTAATCATTTTGTTACCGTTTTTTTTTTTTGCTCCTCGCGTCGGGTTTTGTTCTCACGACAGCCGCAAAAATTGTGTTGCCACAGCTTGACTATAGTTCCTATCTCCCCCTTTGTCTCGCTCTCTCTCTCTCTCTCACTATGGCTGTCTCTGTCTGTGTGTTGCTCTTGTAAGCGCCGTTAGCTTTTGTCTGCAGTCAGCAGTGGCAAGTTCATTTACCTAGAATAAAAACGTGCCTCATTCTATAAACTTTGAGATTAAATTCATTAAATGGGCGAACCTTTAAGTAGGAAGTTCACTTCTCCGTCGTCGTCGTCTTCTTCTTCTTCTTCTTCTTCTTTTTGAAGCTCACATAATGATCTTAAGTTCTTAAGTTCTAAACGATTATAATACCTTATGCAATTGAGAGCAGATAAACCCCAGAGGCAAGGCATATATGCTAAAGATTATTTTTATTTGTCCACTTAACTGTATAAATATTTCTCCAATCTTAGTCATAATTATTTAAAACAAAAACATTTCCATAATTATTTCGGAACAACAGAAGAGAGGGAATTTGAGAAAAGAAAGTTCTCAGTAATCCAATTAGCATTTTAGCTGGAATAAGCTAAGCCTTTTCTTTATTCAAATAATCTTCAGCTGAGCTTTTTTACGCTAATTTAATTGACCACATTTCTGGTTTTTGTGTCAATTAACAAATAATTTATAATTATTTTAATGTCAAGGTGATATTGTACCGTTTTCTTCTCTCTCTCTCAATCTCAACCGGTTCTAAATATTATCAGGCTCTTCAAATATTTAAATACTTGGAAATGCCGTGATAGTTGCAAGTCATTTGAAAAGAAATTTTCACAACTAATTCTAATTTGGCTTTAAAATTGGCTTTGGTAGAAGCGTGCTCAATAATTGCCCAAAAATTATTGTATTATATGTAAACCATAACAAAAGAAAGGGGCAGCAAAATGTGAAAGTTTCTCTCAAAATTATGATTAATGATGATTGATAGCAAAACTAGGCAAACAGCAACAAAAATTGGCTAAAGCGTGTCGAATTTAATATGATCTTGAGTTGATTTTCTCGAGTTCTTTAGAATTTCTTCTCTCTCTTAATTTATATATTATATATAGCAAGTTGAAGAGTTGAATGGATATATCTATTCATTAATTACTCAAGAGACTATGAGCTGAGATGATGTAAAGTTTTGTTCTTTCGCTGCGCGCTTAGAGAGGAGTGCAAGTGCGACACCTGTTTCCGGCATTCTTGAGTTTCTCAACTGCTTCGATTACAAGTGCCTGCAGCATCCAGTTCTCGCTCTCTCTCTCTCTCTCTCTCTCTTTTACTGCTTCTTCTCTACAGTTAACTGCATTTGTGTGTGTGTGTGTCTGTTCGTGTTTTATATCATGACGGCTATTATTTTCATTATGCAGTCGAGAGTTGTCTGCGCTGCGGCTTCTTTTTTTTTTTTTGTGTGATTCTGTTTTTTTTTTTTTGCTCTTTCTTAATTTTCACTTGACGTGCTGCTGGCATGCTTTGTGCTTTTTACATTATTATTATCATATTTGCATTTTTACGCGCGCACTCTCTCTCTCTCTCTCTCTCTCTTTCGCGCGCTCTCTTTTGGGTCTGAATTCATAATTTACAATTGCTGGCTCAACACAAGCGTAACAAACAGTTGCCCAACTCCTCAATCCGCTCTCTTACAACCACTTCTCTCTCTCTCTCTCTCTCTCCCTGTGCTGAGCTCAGCTGTCAGTCAGCAGGCGCTTTGACTAGTCGCCTTTTGTATCTCTTTGTGTATGTGTTGTGTGTGTGTCTGTTTGCTTGTGTGTGCTTTCATTTGCTTCGCACTGCTTGGCATCCCTCTCACTCTCTTTGAAATGCATTTCATTCCACTATTTATACCCCCCACCCCACCCCTCCCCCTTACTGGCGCTTTATAATTATGTGGGAAAAATGTTGCAAAAATGCTAGACACATATTATTTTCTTTCTTTCTTTTTTTTTCATTTCTGTTCATTTTTTGTTAGTTTATTATTTTTGTCATTTATGTATAATGTTGGTTAACTATGCGAGAAAGTGTTGTAGGCGTTGATAATGCAAAAATCATGCTCTGTTGAAAATATTTTGCACAAAAAAGGCATAAATATTTCTGTATTCCTTTTTCTCCTACAAAGTATGCTCAGCATGAAAATTAAAGCGCTCGCTTTCATGTCAGGTATTGCGAAAAGTAGGCTTTTCATTTACCAATCCACGATTCCATATCCACAATTTACCAATAATGTTTAAAAAAAAAAAAGAAGGCAATTTTCAATTAAAGTTCGAAATTCGATTATATAAAATGAGAAGGAAGTAATAAAATAATAAAATTAATAATATATAATCAAGTTGACTCTAATTTAGGTGTTCGAAATAATAATACAATTTATTTTTAGGCATAGTTTAAACCAATTTTGTTCAATCAATTTTCAAATCTATTCAAAAAGTGATTCCCAAAAATATTTGTGGGCTGTAATTTGAGTGCACAACAAAAGCAGCTCTTATTTCCTAACGGGCATATGAAAATCACTTGCCAGAGAAACTCTAGAAAAAAAAAATAAAAATAAAAAAATGAGAAAAAAATTGACGCCCTTTTGCAATTGTAACCTCTCCTAAGGCAACAACGAGATCATTAAAAAAAAATCGCGCTATCAACTTTCACTTGTATATCGACAAAATGTATTTGTTGTAATTGAATTTGTTGTCTTTTGTGTTATTCAAGTGAGTTTTTCATATGTTTTGCATAATTCCGCTGGCGTTTGCTTTCTTTCAAAAAAGCAAAACCAAAACTCGGCCACTTTTCATTTTGGCATAATGAAGCGCTTATAAGCCAAGTGAAAAACAACAAAAAAAGGCAACATATGCAGCTAAAAGCCAACTAACTGAAACACTTTTTTCAAATCAGCTGGCGGACAGTTAGCAACAGCAACAACAAGAGACAACAAACAACAAACAACAACAAGAGACAACAAACAACAAATTTCCAGTGGTCACTGAACCAACAAGCAACTTTTGTTGTTGCTGTTGATAATCTTGACGACGAATGCTTGTTAAAATTGTTGCAGTCGTTTTTGTTGTTTGTTTTTGTTGCCATATCACA